TATATATATATATATTGCACAGTGACTTGTATCAATTTGTCTTAACCGATCAACATTTTTTTAAAAAATCCAAGTAGGCCTACTTGGTTTCTACAGCATTTTAAATGTTTACAGCTGGGGCAATATTGCTTTTAATGGCAAAAAAGTCCGTCATGTTTTTCTAATAGGGACATTATGCTTATTAAACGCCTGCTTTGAGAACCATTAGTGCAAAAAATGAGTTCACTATAAAAATAATTTCTTGTAACAGGTTTTGCAAGTAAAAATTGTAATTGATGAGCTGTGACGTAGGCCATATGCATAATCAAAATATGTGCGAGAAGCAGTAAGTGCTGTGACTGTGAACAATCCCATTTTACATGTGACAGAGATTTCAAGTATTTTATATGAATTTATGAAGATTTGTTTTTTAATCTAACCCCGTTGTTCAGGAAAAATATGATTTAGTTAAGACAAATTGATACAAACTGCTATGAATGGCATTGATTCACCAGTTAAAGAGATATTTGAGGTCAGGTCGCTGTCAGGTTTCGAATCTGGAACCTATTGAACGTGAAGCGAACGCGTACCTCTAGACCACGAGAGCCCCGTATGTTTGGTTCTGATTGTTCTGTTTTTTAATGATCTTCCAGTGTTCTTTTTAGAACCGATACACACATGTAATATATAACATTGTATTTCTATGTTCTATGAAATGATCCCCAGTAGAAATTCGAGTGTCGGTGTGTTTTTATTTGTTTGGTTGTTTTTTGTTTCTGATTCTGTTTCCTTTTTTTCTCTCCATTTATACAGTGCTGATACACACACGTACATGTATGCTTCATTAAACGACTCCCATCAGAAATCCGTGCTCATGTTTGTCTATAATTTGTTTGTTTGTTTGATGTTTTTGTTTTCATTTTATTTTTGCTTTAATGATACATCTGCGCTTCATAAAACGACTCCCATTAACATTCCTGTGCGTGTTTGTTTGGTTGTTTGTTTGGCAATTTTTTTTTCAATGTATTTTTACTTTATTGATACACACACACGTACTTGTATGTTTAATAAAATAAGCCCAATTATAAATTCGTATGATTGTCTGTGTGTGTGTGTGTTTGTTTGTTTGTGTGTACGTGTTTGTGTGTTATAGTATGTATGTTTGTATATGTATGTGTGTGTGGGGGGG